CTGCCTCAGAGAATGGTGGACTTTCCTTCTTAGGAAATCTTCAAACAGAGGTTGGATGGGCATCTTTCAGAAGTGTTTCAGTTGTGTCTTTCTGCATGGGTGGCCCTTGTGGCCCCTTCCAGCTCTAAGATTCTGATTCTGTGGGCTGTGAACATATGCTTTTGGTACAAAAGGCATCCTGCTTCCTCTCCAACTGACAGCACCAGGATCCTGGAATTTGGTCCTTAATTTCAGATGCCCCCACAAATGCTGCAGTGATATACTGAATATATATTTTATGTTTTAATTTTCCACTACTTTTAAATCATCAACCTTTAGCAGCTGAGTGTTCCTTACTGTAACACTACAGCAGAGAGTCCTCTTCTACCTTTTCAACTCTAATGCTTACAAAGGCGACTCCAGTTAAATTGCACAGAAGGACCTTACAGCAGAGTCCTGTGGTTCTGTGACCTCTTTTATCTTACTATTTTTTATTTAGTTCTGTATGCTGGTCATTCTCCAATACTGAAGTACACATCTCTGCTTACTAAGGTGATAGAGAAAATTTTGTTTGACCTGTATTTTGAAACAAAAATTTCTTCAGCAGATTTGCAGTTCTTCAATTAATGGGAGAATTGAAACTCAATTATCCTTCAGCTGCACTAATCCAAATTTTTGAAAGGATTTCTTAGCTCCAAAATTGCATGCAAATATACATAAATTGCAGAAAGAGATGTTAAAAATGTGTGTACTTAAGAAGGCTGATTACAAAAAATGCATATAAAATATAGAAATAAAGACTACTTTTCATGCAGGTTGATTTTGAAAAACACTGACTGAAATAGAGGTTAGACTGAATGAGCATATGATCTCAAAACTGGCATGAACCATGTGTGGACCAGTTTGGCTATCCCTATCACCAACTTTTTTTTTTAAAAAAAAGGTTAAAGTGAGAGCTGTTATTCCCTGCAGTATAGATATGACAAACTCTACAGAAAATATACCTTCCTATTCACTGAGCTGAGTTGGAAATGCTACTGTTTGCAGTGGATTTTCTACTGCAAATCATGTCAATAAGAACATGCATGCTGTATCATCTGGGGAAGCCTTGGAGTTGCCATTGTAGGAAATTCTGGTGGCTTTGTTTAGCAATCAAACTGCATGGACTGAGAGGGAGTGTGATAAGTCTTGGAGTTTTGTAGTGGGTAGCAGTTTGCCATTGGCTTTCACAGATCACCTTTTTCCCAAGCTGAGTAGAAATCCAGTGCTGGTATCCTAGCTTGACTTGTCTGAAGTTCCTTTCTTCCATGTGTGGTTGAAGCAGAAGTAAGGAATGTTGTGGCTAGCTTTTTTTCTACTTGGTCTGTAAGTGCAAATGTCCCTGAAAGACCAGTGTGGGCTCTTGTGCTCATGTACTCTCCTTTGTTGTCATAGACTGGTTGACATCCTATCAGTGGCATCCACCTTATCCCTGCCTATGTTATTATTCAGCTGTTGTGGAGGTCAGAATTCCCTTACTCCATTCACAGTGACCAAAGACCCCATCCCTGATTTACTATTGAGCTGGTCCAGCATCCCCTGTGGCTGATAGAGAATGGGGTGTATGTGCATGTGTCTTAAAACAGAAAGCATGTAGCTATGTTTGTGTAGATGTAAAATTATTACATTGTTTGCTAAGACCTCTGGAAGACTCCAGCAGTCCTCCAAAGATTATGTAATCATTTTGCATCTACTATAGCGGCATAGTCAGACATTTACTAACCAGAGCTGCCCCTGTTCAATGGGCCACAGAATGGCCATGGGGTGTCTGCAGCAGCTCAACAGAAAGTCCAGGGACTTTGTATGGTCAGCTGTAGTGTAGTTTCACATGCAGAACTATTATGCCATGCTGTGCTGTACAGAATTTTGGCCACTAGGTGCTGTGAACCAGGATCTATGTAGTCATAGCTGCCATCACTGGCACAATTGGACCATTTCTTTGACTTTGGCAGGGGTGTTATTCTATTTTATTGTTCTATAGTGTCATGTATGTTAATTATGCTATATAAATAAATAATATGTAGAGAGGCTTAAATAATAATAATAATAATTTTTATTTATAGCCCGCCCCTCTGCCCAACAATCGAGGCGGGTTACAACATTAAAAAACAAACAAAGTTAAAACATCCCCCAATCCCTAGTCCCAGCCTCCCAACCTCTAAAACAGGATTAAACAAACAAGAGTTAAAATACATTAAATAGTAAAAACTATAGAATAAAAACCAATACAAGTAATCACTCAAATAATCACACGCGATGAGGAAGTAGATTAGCAGAAAGCTCATCTCCCAGGGCAGATATATTACGGAGATATTAATCTGGG